ATCTCTCCAACTATTACTTCCCCAACTCTCATGTCCCCCTTCTCTCTCTCTCCTCTCTCTCTCTCTCTCTCTCTCTCTCTCTCTCTCTCTCTCTGGCATCATCTTTATCATTTTTTTTTCAGACCGGAAACAGATAATACAACATACAGTGAGCAGATATTATTTCACCAACAGCAGAACTGTAAATCAGTAAAATTCAATGGTACATTCTTGAATAACTTTAGCCTTTTTGGAAATGTGAAAGTGATAAGCTTGATTTTCTTGCAAAACATCTTTCCAGAACTTGAGGCATAGCACGTCGCCAATGCTGGCATCTCCCTTGAAACTCATGCACACTTTGTGGACAAGTCTGAACGGGTCCCCTTTTTCTTCGTATCCGAAGGACTGTATGTGCCAGCTCGTGTAGGCATCTAGGCAAAACTTAAGGTAACTGCTCCAATTCACGTGAAGATACGGATCTATATCGCTGGGCAAGACAGTAATCTCGTGTACGTGAATTTCACAATCAGTGGGGACTGGCTTTGACTGGATGATCAAATGCTTTTCAGTTTTTACGACGTGTTTCAGAAATTTCTCCCTCCACCAATCGGGGAACTGGTCAGCTCTTCGAGTTTCTGGATCGACCAGGATAAATTGATATTCCCCTTCTAAGACAGGGGAGGAGGTTTCGTCGTGAAAAGACATGGCCCCTGCTAACTTACCAGATGTACGCCCGATATGCATCAAACGTGTTTCTATTGACAAAGAGCGTTTCGCTGTTCCGGCATCGTAAAATTCTGGGTGAAACTTGAACTGTGCGGACGCCACAAAGGTAAGTCTGCCCAGTTTGGCCCAGTCCAGAAAGCTTTCTGTTTCGCCGTCCGCCAGCACAGATGAGAACATCCCTCGACACGCTGCCATTAAGCGTATGGCTGTCCAAGTATGAATCGTAGCTGGTGGGCAAGAAAATTATGTTTGTGAAATGATAATAATAACTACTGCAAACATCAAGACACTGCAAAAAAACAAAACAACAACAACAACAAACCAAAACAATCGTTATTCACTTATTTTTAAAGAATTTAATGTGCTTAAAACATTACTTACTTCTAACTCAATGGCACTGTTTTTGTTAGGAGTATTCCTACATTCTTATTTCGAGGATCCTTGCGAGCTTGAGACTATTCAACCCATTCTCTGTAAAACAAAATACCTGGCACTTCATTGCTTCACCCACTTGCTGATGTTTGGTAACCCGTTTCATTGCTATCAAACAGCTAAATGGGACAGAAGTAACTCCTTTCAACTTTTATACCATAATTTGTGAGGAATCGTGGTAAAATCAAGCACTCGTCAAAATAATGAAGTCGAAGAAACCAGCATTTTACTGTCCGTTCGGTAATTTTTTATCAAATTCATTTTATTTATTTTTTTGGCTAAAAACTTTTTATGTCCATGTAGAACACTTTTCTATGTGGATTTCACTGGTAAAAATTGATGAAAGGCACGGAAAATATGACAAAACTTTCAAGCTTTTGAAGTTGCCAAACTTTGGCTGCCATTTTCTCGATAATCTTACCTCTGATACTAGACGACCCCCTCCTCCTTCAATTGCAAATATTTATCTCGACCTGTCTCAAGATAGAATGGTATTTATTTCAAAGAAAGCAAGGCAAATGAGCAAGCTTTAAGATGAAATCATTGACTCCATTTGCCGAAAAATTGACGAGCGCCTGATTTCACCACGTCGTGACATACACATGGAGTTGTTTTAGCGTTGCACTTCCGGAGAAACAAATGCTTTTACTTCACTCGAGAAATTATAATATAATCGGGGGTCTACCTTAATTATGTTAAACATGTCAAACCTCTGGCATCGAAGTCACAGAAGTTGAATCCTCCTCGGATATGAACCCTCAGGGTCCCTGGGTCCACTAACACCACCTTGGAGTCCTCGTTGATTTGATGATACACCCTTGTTGATATTGAAAATGGTCGCAATATTAGTTTAATCCATTTTTGTTTGAATATCGTTACGGTCACTCTTTTCTCACGAAATTACCCCATTTTCAGCTACCTGTGTGTCAATAGGTCTCTCTCTCTCTCTCTCTCTCTCTCTCTCTC